CGTGCTTGTTGTGACGATCCCCAACTCTCTCTTTCTGTCTTTCTCTCTCTCTCTCTCTTTCACTCTCTCTCTCTCTCTTTCTCTCTCTCTCTCTCTATGCCTCTGCATGTAAACTGGCTGGTCACCTTGGGAGCGCAAGGCTATGAAGGTTCATGCTGGACTGCTGTCCTGTGTTCTGTGTGTGTTTGCACGTTGCTGTGTCTCTTGCCGCTCTAGTCCTGCATCCATGTTACGGTCTACTAGGAGGCCCGCGACGCCCAAAAAATTAGGCTGGCGCAGGACCCAACCATTGGCACTTGTGAGTACCGCAGTTGAGGGTATCGTCTTCGGGGGGGGGCTCCCGATGGGCCACGGAAGGCTGTACTGAGTGCGTGAGACGCATGCGGAAAGTGCCACTGTGGCCTTCGGTGGAGCTCCCTGTAGGGCCTCGAAGCGCTGTACTGGGTGGGGAAACGCATGCGGACGGTGCCATTGGCGCCGTCGGTGGAGCTCCCTATGGGGCCACGAGACGCTGTACTGGATAGGGGGACGCATGCGGGCGGTACCGCTGGGACCTTCGATGGAGCTCTCTATGGGACCACGAGACGCTGTAGTGGGGGGGGTGACGCATGCGGGCGGTAGCACTGGAGCCATCGGTGGAGTTCCCCATGGAGCCACGAAACGCTGTACTAGGTGGGGGGGACGCCTGCAGGCGGTAGCACTGGGACCGTCGGTGGAGCTCCCTATAGGGCCACGAAGCGCTGTACTGGGTGGGGGAGACGAATGCGGGCGGTAGCACTGGGACATTATGTGGAGCCCCCTATGAGCCACGAAACGCTGCACTGGGTGGGGGGGGCACATGCGAACTTTGCCACTGGGGCCGTCGGTGGAGCTCCGTATGAGGCCACGAAGCGCTGTGTTGGGTGGAGAAACGCATGTGGACGGTGCCATTGAGGCCTTCGGTGGAGCTCCCTATGAGGCCACGAAAAGCTGTACTGGGTTGGGGGGCACATGCGGAAAGTGCCACTCGGACCGTCGGTGGAGCTCCCTATGGGGCCACGAAACGCTGCACTGGGTGAGGGGAAGTGCATGCGTCAAGTGCCACTGGGGCCTTCGATGGAGCTCCCTGCAGGGCCTCGAAACGCTATTCTGGGTGAGGGAAACGCATGCGGGCGAAGCCACTGACGCTGTCAGTGGAGCACCCTTCGGGGCCACGAAACGCTGTACTGGGTGGGGGAGGACGCATGCGGGCGGTAGCACTGGGACCTTCGGTGGAGCTCCCTACGGGGCCACGACACGCAGTACTGGATGGGGGAGGACGCGTGCGGGCGGTAGCACTGGGGCCTTCGGTGGAGCTCCCTATGAGGCCACGAAGCGCTCGCTGTACTGGGTGGGGGAGAGGCATGTGGACGGTGCCATTGAGGCCTTCGGTGGAGCTCCCTGAGGCCACGAACTACGAAACGCTGTACTGGGTGGGGGGACTCGTTCGGAAAGTGCCACTTGGGCCTGCGGTGGAGATCCCTATGGGGCCACGAAGCGCTGCACTGGGTGAGGGGAAACGCATGCGTCAAGTACCACTGGGGCCGTCGGTGGAGCTCACTGTAGGGCCTCGAATCGCTATACTGGGTGGGGGAAAGGCATGCGGGCGAAGCCACTGACGCTGTCAGTGGAGCTCTCGATGAGGCCACGAAACGCTGTACTGGATTGGGGGGACGCGTGCGGGCGGTAGCGCTGGGACCTTCGGTGGCCCCGAAACGCTGTACTGGGTGGGGGGACGCATGCGGGCGGTAGCGCTGGGGCCTTCGGTGGAGCTCCCTATGGGGCCGCGAAACGCCGTACTGGGTGGGGGGGACGCATGCGGGCGGTAGCACTGGGACCTTCGGTGGAGCTCCCTATCAGGCCACGAAACGCTGTACTGGGTGGGGGGGGGGGGACGCATGCGGGCGGTAGCACTGGGACCTTCGGTGGAGCTCCCTGTGGGGCCACGAAGCGTGTAATGGGTGCAAGGGATGGGAAGAGCTGGAGGAGGGGGGGGAGGTGGAGAGAGAGGAAGGAGGCGGGAACGCCGGGCGCTGTCTCATCAAAACGAGGAGCCAACACCACAGGATGGTTGGGAAACACCCGGGAGGGGGTCTCAAATTGCGACAGCAGGTTCGCGTCGTGCCGACCCCGGAATTAGGTTCCTGACACCGCGGGGGTCTTTCAGCCTGGAACGATTTGGGAGGCCTGGAAATGGGCACCAACACCAAGACAGAGGGCTGCCTCCACAGGAGGGAGGTGATCCTAGATTTCGGTGTTGGTGGTAATATTTCGGCCACCTTGGAAGCCAGAGTATTACCACCATCACCGAGATCGGGATCTTCTTCCCTCGGTGGAGGCACACCGCCGATCTTGGTGTTGGTGTCAACCTCTAGGCCTGCGACGATTGGCCGTGTCCGAAACGTTAGATCGCTTCACGTCGACCAATTCTGGGTCGCCGACGGCGTTCCACGTGGAGCGCCAGCGGCGGGGTCGCAGCCCGTCGACCCGGCGCGAGCCTGCCGGCAGCAGCTCCAGGACGCCCCACGGTTCCTGCCGGGAGGGCCGCCGCGCGGCCGGGAGGGCACGGGAAGCCTCGCCTCGAAGACGGCCCCACGAGGCTCCGAGGAGGAGCTCCAAGGCCCGAGGCGGGCCGAGAGGGGCCCCGAGGCCCCCCACAAGACACCCCAGAGGGGCCCAAAGGTGGACCAAGAGAGCCCCCAAGACGCTCCAAGATGGCCTCAAAGACGGCCACAGGGGCCCCCGAGAGGGCTACAAAGACGCCTCCAGATGCCCAAAATCGGTGATGTCCGATATGGTCTCGACAGGTGTTCGTTCCTTGCCCTTTCGGGCTCACGAAAGCCTGCGGCCCAATTCGCCTCAATGATGGCCCCAAGTCGGCCCAAGAGACCCCCAAGAGGGCCCCTCATAATGGCCGAGTGAGCTTCCAAGACAGCCCCAAGAGGGCCCAAGAGGGCCCCAAGAGGTCCCCAAGACGGCCCAAGGCAGCCCAGAAGGGCCCAAGACGGGGCAAGAGAGCCCCAAGAGGGCCAAGATGTCCCAAGACAGCCCAAGGGGGCCCCTGGAAGCCCCGAGACGCTCCCAAGAAATCCCAAGAGACCCCATAATGGCCCCAAAACTGCCCCAACAACGATGGCTCAGCCTAGGGGGGCAGCCAGAGGGCACAACCCTTCAAACATGTAGACACAAGTTTGGTGTGAGTCGGACAAGACGCATGGCCATTCCGTACCAGACGAGTCCGTTCAGCCGCCGCCCTACCCCTAAGTTCACAAGGTGGTATCAGATTCAAAGAGCGCGCGATGTGCTACTGGCCGCGCTGCATATCCTTCACGAGCCCTGGCACAGATCGCATCATCTTGCTCAAAGTTTGAACCTGGCGGTCCAGACCGTGCACATGGTCGTTCAGGACATCCATCTTGTTCATCAAGGCCTGGTACTCCTTGTCCTCGACTCCGAGCACCCAGTCTCCCAAGGACCAAAGCACCGCAGCCACGCCCGCCAGGCTCAGAATAGCTCTCTGGATAAGCCCTCTGTTCACCACCAGGTGGCCGCCGACGGATACGCCGATGCCTCGTCCCCTGTTCGCCTGTGCCATGACAGCCTCGACGGCTGTGACCTGACCGTGCAGTTCTGGACTGTGGCTGCGAAGTTGCGTAAGTTTGCTCTCTGCTGTCTCGAGAGCTGCTGAGATGCGGAACGGAGCGGCGGTACACGCGATTGCTGCGCCAGCCGCCCTGACCACAAGGCCCAGTAAAGCAAGCAGCTCAGGCATCATCAGCTGAATGGTTGCCTGGGAGGTGACACGCAAAAAGACCAACTTGGCTCTCATCATCCGCCAGCACGCCTGCGGCACGTCGGGCGTGTCAGAATACCAAACGGGTGCTCTGGACATTTCTCGATGTCTTCCTGGGACGACCCCCGTTCTCGCAGTTGGCGTGGATCGCCCACCCCCTCTGCGCCTCGTCTGGACCGCGCTCTGTGCCCTGGAATCCTGCCGATTGCTCCAACGGCCTCAAGATGGTCCAAGATGGCCCAAGACAGCCTCAAGAGGGACCAGGATGGCCAAAATTGGCCCAGGGATGACCCCAAGACGCCACAAGAACCTCCAAGGTAGCTCAGCGCGGAGTGCGCCAGAGCTGGGACCCCTGACTTTTCAGCTTGGCACGGCCTCAAGATCACCTCCAGGGGCCTCCGAAGCGGTCCCAGAGGCCCCCAATAAAAACAGAGCACAAGGCAGAAGAGGCCGCCAAGATGGTTCCAAAAGCACACAGTTGGCCTCCAAGGCAACCTCCAGAAGGCTACACTCTTGCCTCAGACCACCCGCCAGACCCACGAAGGGATCCGGTCTGACCCCAACAGGCACCGAGAGACCCCACGAGAGCCCCAAGAGAGCCCTCAAGAGGGCCCCGGGAAGGCCCGAAGACGCCCCCGAGTTGAGACGGGTCCAAGTGATCGGCTGCATGCGTGTGCAGACCATACGGCCGAGCACTTACTGGTCGAGAGATTTCCGCACTAGCGCCCCCCCTGGATGTGGAGAGTCAGACTGGCGTCAGCTGTCTGGCAGGAGTGCAGCTTTCTACGGCCATCCCCGCAAACACACACACACACACAAACACACACACACACATCCTCGGGGCACGCTTACCCAGAAAGCCACCCTAAGTGTTGCTATACTGCGCCCATTTCGGCATCTAGGCGGCTCCAAGACGGACGTCACCCAGAGGTTCCAAGATGTCCCCAAGACGTCCCAAAAAGCTCCCAAGGAACGCCATACGTGGCCGCCAGCGACTCCCGAAGATGCTACAAATAATGAACAACCGATGGACAATACAGGTGCGCTGCTTCAGGTGCGTTTCGGTTACAGGCCGCCTCGAGTATAGATGTTTAGTCGTTATTGCGGTCCCTGCTTCTTCCATTCAGCCCTGCAGCACCACCATACTCTTTCTCTCTCTCTCTCTCTCTCTCTTTTTCTCTCTCTCTCTCTCTCTCTCTTTGTTCTCTCTCTCTCTCTCTACAAATATAGATCCACAGCTGTTTTTGCTCGGGCTGGTTTACCATGCTTCCCGCTCAAACTCCAGACATCACGTACGATAGCAGATTGACACTCATCCAGCAGATCACTACATTACTCTCGACCATACTGCGCGTCAAAGAGCCGCTGTGGAGACCGAGTGGCCAGGTCGTGCAGAGGATAAAAACACAACGCCGATCACTCTCACCAGGGAACCTCTGGGGAGCACCAAGACGCTTTCAAACTGGCCGGAAACGGCCCTCAAAAACTCCCCAAGACGGCCTGAGAAGAGGGCTCCAAGGCGGCCTGAAGGCCCTCCTTGTTTCCAGGATGCTTCCAGGAAGCTTCCAGGAATCTCCCCAAGAACGGATGCAGGGGGGAGGAGGAGAAGGAGGAGGAGGAGGAGGAGGAGGAAGAGGAGGAGGAGGAGGAGAAGCAGCAGGAGGACGAGGAGGCCTACGAAGCTGCGAGCAAAGAAGGGCTACTGAAGACCGAGGTGCCACTTCAAACAAGGCACTGGACTGGAGCGGGTCTTAAACTCGACCTCCTGCTTGCTGCACTGCTGCGCTGGAACGGTGGCGGGGCTTGCCACAGGCAGCTGGATCATCTCGACCACTCCGAAGCTGATCAGAACTAAGGGCAAGCCGAGTTTGGCAAGATACTCGTCGTTCTTGTCGAGGAATTTTACCATCCGGTGGTGTACCCGCTCCTTGAAATTTGCCGCGTCGCAGTCCCCCAACACAACACTCTCTAGCTCGACCCCGACCGAGTCGGCGCCGCTCGCGAGGGCACACGTCACGCTACATATGAGGAGAGAGTCAACGAGGCACCCGGCATAATGAAGGCGAAGCATGAGAGGCATAGGTCGGAACATGAAGTTCGCAGCTTCCCACAAGGCATGAAGAATGTAAGACCCCGCAAGCAGGACAATGCTCGCGACGCTCACCGGGAGTCCCATCTTGACTGGCTGAGGGGGGGGACCATCTGGACCGGCTGCGCGGACACGCCACATGCACAGCCCTACTCCAAGGCGGAGAAGCGAATCCCAGAAAGCCAGAAGGAGCCCAGCCCACGAGCTCCTCAGCGTAATTGCTGACCACAGACTCTCCATCAATGTCGACGAGGTCGACGCAGCCAAGAAGCCCAGGGCAACCGGGCTGGCCAGATAAAGTTGCGGATCTCTGCGCGCGCCCTCCTCGTGTGACACTTGCGCGTGGACGACCCGTCCGAGCATGTCTACGATCACTGCCCAATTGGACCCGCCATCGTGCCTGCACGGTGTGGAGTGTCAGGACGCCTCTCAGTTGTCGGGCAGGATTTCTGCACTGTTCTAAGACCCCACCTCCTCGCGGCAGACAGCCACAAAAGATCGCCACCCTAGCTGTCTGGCGCCTTTTTCGGAATAAGAACGGCTCCAAAACGGCCGTTGACCGCTGGAAGATGCCCGAGGAGCAACTGAAGAGGTTCCACGATCCCGTGGAGGCGCCAAGATATCCCCAAGATCCCCCCAGAGGTCCCAAACAACCTCGAAGCGACGCCCAAAGAGGCCTCCAACGAGGCATATGCCTGTTGCTGTCCGATACTTTTCGGCTGCAGACCGCCTCAGGAGAGCTGTTAGGAATGTCCTGGAAGACCCCGGAATTCCCCAGCACGGCCCCGAAGAAGACCTCAAGGCGGCCCCAGGAGCAGGGCTGGACCTAAACGGTATCTTCCGTTTCGTTGTCCGATGTGTTTTTCAAGCTGTCCTGCCCGTTCCCCTGGGCCTCTCAGCCAAAACGGCAAACGAAACACGAAGCCCGAAATCTAGCAAAACAGCATTTAGGTCCAGCCCTGCCCAGGAGAGCCCGAGAACGCCACGGCTCGCAGACGGCCCAACGGAGCCCCAGCGGGCCCCCAACGGGGGCCCCAGCAGGCCCCAGTGGAGGCTCACAAAGAAGGCCCAGAGAGGCCTCACAGAAGTCCCCAAGAAGCCTCCAGGATGCCTTCAATAAAGATGAGGGAGGAGGGGGAGGAGGAGGACAGAGAGGAGGATGAGGAGGCGGCGGAGGAGGAGGAGAAGAATAAACAGGAGAAGAACGACTGGACTGGGAAAGATAAGAAGAATGATTGCGCTGGCACGGTGGCTGGCTTGCCGCAGGCACGTGGATACGATGTCCGCCCATGCCAAAATCGATCGCAATGTCGATGGCACTGTTTTGGTCTTGAATACGATCGTGTACGGTCTGCTGCCTCCCCGCTTGAAGTTGTAAAGCCCCGCTGAGAACGGCTTGCCTGCGATGGTGACAGCTCTGTCCCCGACTTGCACGCCATGCTTGTCTGCCTGTTGGCCAGGCCTCACGTACTTGACGACCCCATCGAGACTGAATTGTATGCCTGCATGGCCAGGATTCAGCTCGACTTCGCGGTGGCCAAGTTTCAGCTTGACGTTGCTGATGGTCTGCCGCTTTTGCGTGTGATGCCCCCCCCCGAATATCGGCTTGGGCATCCAGCTTCGACAGTGTGTCGTTGAAGCTAACTAACGCGTGGTTCTGCCCCTCGAGTGCTAGCACAGAGTTGCCTGGTCCGTCCATCCAGCTGGGTTCCGAATGAACCTCATCGGCGTCGGTACCCGAAGTGGTCGCGCGTGCAGCTCAAACTGGAGGCGCCACAGCCAGCAACAAAAGGATGCCACACTTTGCTGGAGCGCATGGCGCCATCTGGCATGAAAGTGGCTGGTTTTGCAGAACAAAGTTCACGCGACTGCTACTCCAGATTTCGTAATAAAAGGGAGGGGGTCTGGACCCTCCAAGACAAGCCATGTCAGACCTCCCCCGTGGGAGAACCCTCCAAAACATCGTCCCCAGACCCCCCAGGCCCTCCAAGATAGCCTGGAAGAGACCCCCCCCGAAATGAGACCCCCTCCCTTTATTACGAAATCTGGAGTACTGAAAGCATAGCCGATGAATCGGCAGCGCGGCTCGGTGTTGAGCCAGACTGGCCATGGACCACCCAGCTTCGGGAGCGAGGTGGAAGATGCCAACGATATATAGAGGGAGGGGCACGGGGCGGAGGAGCCAGAGCGAGGAAGTGGGACGGTGGTAAGAGGAAGAAGTTACGTGACCATGGGTAACGACGGCGTCCTGGTGGCGACACGTAGCCTTTCCGCTCCGACCTGCCGATGGCACAACATCCGAAGCGCATGCCCTGGATCCGAGATGGCCTACTGCCGTCCACGAAATAGCGCTTATGACGCTACTGGATATCTAATTACGGTGTCAAGGGCCCGGCAGCAGGGGGGGCAAGTAGAAAACCCCCGTCAAGGCGTCAAATGAGAAAATGCTGGGTCCCGATGCACCGATCCGCTTGCACTGCATGCTTGCACGACTCAGCCGAAGTCCCGTTGCAGACTAGAACACAAGCAGCAATTTGCCTGACGAAGGACCCAACCATATGCAGTTGTGAATAACGCTGGTGTGGGTACCGTCTTCGGTGGAGCTCCCTGTGGGGCCACGAAACGTGTGAGGGGCGTGCCGAAATGGGTTGCGGGGGTGCTTGTGGATTGCGCCACTGGAACCTGCGGTGGAGCTTCCGCTGGGGCCACGAAACGTGTGAGGTGCGTGCCGACATGGGAGGGCGGGGACACATGTGGGCACTGCCACTGGGGCATTCGGTCGAGCTTCCTATGGGACCACGAAACGTATGCGGGGCGTGCAAAAGTGGGTGGCGGGGACGCACGTGGACACCGCCATTGGGGCCTTTGGGGGAGCTCCCTATGGGGGCCACGAAACGGGCGAGGGGCGTGCCGAAATCGGTGGCGGGGACGCATGTGGGCACCGCCACTGGGGCCTTCGGTGCAGCTTCCTGTGGGGCCGCGAAACGTGTGAGAGCTGCGCCGAAATGAGTGGCGCGGACGCATGCGGGCTGCGCAACTGGTACCATCGGTGGAGCTCGCTACGGGGCCACGAAGCGTGTGAGAGGTGTGCCGAAATTGATGGCGGGGACGCCTGCGGGCTGCGCCACTGGAACCTCCGGTGGAGCTCCTATGGGGCCACGAAACGTGTGAGTGGTACGTCAAAGTAGGTGGCGGGGACTCCTGCGGGCTGCGCAACGGGGACCTTCGGCGGAGCTCCCTGCGAGGCCACGAAACGTGTGAGGGGGGTGTCAAAATGGCTTGCGTGGACGCCTGCGGCGGGCTGCGCAACGGGGACCTTCGGCGGAGCTCCTGTGGCTCAGAAGCGCTTCCTCACGAGGCCCAAGAGCGCCCTGAGGATTTGGCCACGACGCTCCCAGTAAGCCCCCCCAATCAACCCAAGACCGCCACAAGAGGAAGCCAAGACGGCCCAGGAATGCTCCTGGAGGCGCCCCCAGGCACAGCATACAGATGCGATAGGCATACTCCTCGTCAGGAGACATCCTGGGGCACGCTCCTCGTCAGTCTTTGCGGGTCCTATCGTGCCCCAGGGCCTCTGCGGGTCTCTGGGGCCATCCGGGGGCATGGAACTCCCGCGGGGCACCTGCTGGTAGACCGATGTCTTGCTTGGCGCACCTCTTGTAGCCCAAGGGGTCCCGAGGCTCTTCAGCTGACTTTCAACGTGCAGCGAGAGCCTCCAGCGATGGCAGCAAGAGCCAGCAACCGCGGGAACCGCAGCGGCAAGGCCAGCGGCCTGAAGAGGGCGCTCGGACGGCCCAGCACGCTGCCCTGGCACAGACCGCCGCATTGCCGTGGAGGTCGCACCCAAGTCCAGAGACACAGCCTTGAGAATTCACTCAAAATTGCGCGCCTGAAATTTGGAAAGAGCCCATGTAACGCAACGTCGATTGATACGCTGCGACAACGTTGGCTTGGCACCTCGAAATCCGGGTCGCATTTCTGCCGCCGCTGGCAGCCTGTTCTCCTGGTATTCCGCAATCGCCAGGACGCCGAATTCCACCGTCTCCTGCCCGTTGGCTGACACTTTTCACTGGGGGGGTGGACGTGATGCTCTGGTCGATTGCACGTTCATCTCTGCGCAACCTTGAGGAGCCAGATGCATGGCGCGAAGCGCCAGCACACCCTTGCGTGCACCGACCCCTTGGGAGGACACAAGACGTGCGCCTGGACAGGCCGTGGCTGGACCAGATCCCAGACCAAGTACCAGCCCTGCCACGGTCGGTGTTCGGTGTGTGCGCACGAGCTGGCGCTCCCAGCACCACAACCACTGGGGAAACCAAGAGGTGCCCATACCGCTGCTTCCAGGACCGCTCCCGGGGTGCGTTCTGACCCGAACCTCGAGGCGAATCCAGCGGTGGCGACGAGGGCCCCCCCAGGAGGCCCAAAAAGAAGGAAAACGGCCGAAGGGTAGCGGCATGAGTACCTCTCCCTCCTGCAAACCACCCGACCACCCCCCCCCCTCGTCGGATCCCCACGTCGCCCAAGTTCGCGCACCGCGCCCAGCGACGCGCCACGCGCGCTCCTCTTCGCGCTGCGTCGCGGCCTCGCGCCGCGCCACCTGGAGGAGGGGCAGCCCGGACCAGAGAACAAACGACCCCACCCTCGGCTACACGCAGGAGTGACCCTGGGTAAGAGTGACCCTTTGGTGCGCGGCTTTTTGGGGGGCCGCGGGGGGACCAAACCTGGGCGCGCAGGCCGCTGCTCCTACTTCGTTTTCAGCCATCTGGGGACCCATCTGTGCCCGCACCAAAGGTCACTCCGGCGAAAGGTCACTCCGGCCCCACGGGCCTGAGCATATACCATGAACTCTGGCTTGCGCTCTTGCGCGGCGTACACCACGGCGCCCGATGGGCCCTAATTAGCGTGACACGGAGGGCCGTGGGTGGAGTGGTGTCGCTTGCTTTCTGGCCGACAAGCGCCCTGGTCCAGACCACGACGCGCGACCTGCGGTCTACCTCTGCGCCCCTGGCCGGCGACGGCGCGGCGGCATCCCGCGCGGCGGCCTCGAAATACCCCACGAGGCCTCGCCGCACGGGCGGCCGCCGCACGGCTCTGGGGCCTCAGAGCAGGGCTGGGCCTAAACGTTGTTTCTCGTTTTGCGCTCGCTTTGTGCTTCGTTTTGCTCTGCCTGCTTTCCTAGACCTCCCTGCCAAGACGAAAAGCAAGACACGGCCGAAGTCCAGCCCTGCTTCAGAGGCCCCGGCCGCCCGAGACGGCGACTCGAGCCCCAGAGCCGTGCGGCCACCCCGAATCCCCGCGGACTCACCACGTGAGCGTTGTCTGAGTCGGCGCTTCGACCTTGGGCGGCAGGGGAGGGGAGGGGGGGGGAGTCTGGCTCCGGACCTCTGCTCACTGCGACCGTTTGCAGCAGTGCGTCCCCTGGGGTAGATTCCACCTGCCCGAAACAGGCGCCAAACGCAGCCAAGACCTGCTCCGTGGGGGGCATGGGGAGGAAGGGGGGCGGGGCGAGGGCCCGCGCCGATCGGCAGAACAATGAATGAGAAAACGATCACCACTCCGGCCCTCCTCCGAATGTCTGGTTTCCGGGCCACCCCTCGGGGCCTCCGGCGGCCGCTCGGGATGCTCCGCGTGCACCCGTGGAGGACGCTCCCGGCGGGGCGCAGCCCCTGGAGAGGGCACCCCGAGGCGCAGGGGAAGCCGCCGAGAGCTGGCAGCAACGTCGGAAGCCTCGAGCTCCGAGCCTCGAGCTCCGAGCAGCTCGGCGACAGCCCACCACGCGGCGCGGCCCCCACACCGCTCGGGGGTCCCATGGCCTCCCCCGCTGGCCTGACTCTACCTGCCAGACCACCCCAGCCCAACTCGAAGACCCGCACTTCGAGCTGGGGGGGTGCACGTCGTTGATTTCTGATCGTGCTCGTTTCTGATTGTGCTCGATTCTAAGTGTTCCTGGCCCCCTAGTGGCCAGGAAGAGGCCCAGGACAGAACAATTGGAAATGAAAAGATATTGGACCCCCAAAAATCAAAGAACTCTCGAAGAATTGGAAATGAACCATGTGTACGGGTTTCATGTGTGTTTTTCCATGCTTCCTGGCCCCCCACCCCACTGGAATCAGAGGGCACATCGGGGCCTTCGGGTTGGGTTGGGGTGGCTTGGCGGGCGGTGATGGCCCGTCCCCTTGCTCGAGACGATCGAGGCTAATACGGAGAGAGCGGGCGCAAAGACCGACGGCAGTTCCTGCTCGTTTTTTGAGCAGGGCTCGCGGCCGGCGCCGCCGCGGACGTGGCTCGTCTGAAACAGAGGGCCGCCGGCCCGACAGCGGCCGCTGTTGGCTTTGGACAGCGTTTGAGCGACGATCAGGAAGGGGTCTTGCGCGAGATGGCATGGCGACCTTACGCCGCGGCTCGCGCGGGCCGCCGGCGCGGCACGCTGCATTGGAGACGAGGGCGCTCGCGCACGGCCCTGCGCGGGCAGCTTGCGCGCCACTGTCGGCGCAGGCGACCCCCATTTCTTGCGTCGCTCATTTGCTGTTTGGGCACTGTCCACTTCGGGCGTCCACGCTTGGAAATCTCTATGTCTTCCCTGGGATCCTTAGGATATTCTCGAGGGATTGCCATGGACTCCCTGGGGTTCCTGGGGTTCCTTATCGATTCCTATGGATTTCTATGGCTCCTAAGGGTTCCCTCTGGATTCCTACGGATTCCCTACAGGACTCCCTGGGACTCCCAGAGAGAGAGAGAGAGAGAGAGAGAGGAAAAAAAAGGGGGCCCGCGGCGCCTCGCTGTCGGAGTCCCCCAGGAGCACCTGGGGCCCTTCGTCGCTAGAGTCCTCCAGGAGCACCTCTCTGGGGCGGCGCGCGCCAGAGGGGGAGGCGGAGGAGGACGAGGAGGAGGAGGAGGAGGAGGAGGAGGAGGAGGAGGAGGAGGGGGAGGAGGAGGGGAGGGGGGCGGGGGGCGGCCTGCTCGCCTCGTGGACCCCGGGGCGTCCGGGGGGGGTGGGGGGGTCCAGGAGGGCGGTTCGCAGATCATGGCCCGAGGCGCGGGAGCGACCCAGGGGGAGGACCGGGGGACGCGCTGGAAGGAGGAGGAGAAGGAGACGACGACGAAGAAAAGCAGAAGAAGACGAAGACGAAGAAGGAGCAGCTAGGAGAGGAAAAGTAGAAGAGGACGAAGACGAAGGCGAAAAAACAGAAGAAGAAGGCGAAACATAACGAAAAGACGAAGGAGAAGGAGAAGAAGAAGGAGAAGAAGAAGAAGATGCGGCTGTGAAATCCAGGGAGCTATTATGGCCCCCGTCGTGGCATCCGCCCACCCCCCCCTGGCCTTCACGCCCCTCCTGGACGCCCCCGATGGAAGGTCCTTGGCCGTCAAAAGCCTGAGCGCGCCGCGCCCCCCTCCAGAAGGCGGAGCGAGGGGGTTGGAGGAGGAGGAGGAGGAGGAGGAGGAGGAGGAGGAGGAGGAGGAGGAGGAGGAGGTGGAGGAGGAGGAGGAGGAGGAGGAGAGGAGGAGGAGGAGGAGGAGGAGGAGAGGAGGAGGAGGAGGAGGGAGGAGGAGGAGGAGGAGGAGGAGGAGGAGGAGGAGGAGGAGGATTGTTTTACAGTGCGCCGCTAACACCCAGGCTCCAAGGGCAGATTTCTGCCAGGGACTGGCCGCTAGGGAGGAAAATGTTAAGCATCAACCAAAGATGCGACAGTCTTGGCTGGAGGAAGGCCTTCACAAATTCTCTGCAAGACTTCCAATTGCGCCTTGGTTACAGCACGCGGTCCGATCGTGACGGCAGGGCACGGACCCCTCAAGAAAGCACCGGGAGATCTGTTGGCCCAAGACCCGCACTCGCCACAAAAGTAAAAGGATACCTTACGCCACAGCACGTGCGCGGGGTGGGTGCACAGGCTTGCGGGAAATCCAAGGAGAAACTCGAATTGGCATGGGGTCCACGCGAAGGGACCGCCACAGGGACTCGTCCCGAGGCGGAAGCTGCCTGCCTGGACGGGCCCATTTCTTCGAAGACCTTCCCCCCCCCGCCCGCACGCACACGCTCACGCACACACAGCCCCGCTCCTCCCTCCAAGGTGGCGAGGCAGGTGGAAGCAAGGCGAGCGAGCCGAGGAGGGGCGGTGTCCTTGACCTGGCCCTGGCAAAGCGTACAAGACCACACACCTTCAGAGAGCGACCAGTGGTGAGAGCTGGACCGAACATCCGACTCGATCCACTTGCGGCGCCTTAGCACCAAGTCAATGGGCCGCTTGTTCAAACGTCGGTCTGGCTCCACCTTAAGAGCGGCACACTCAAGGATGATACACGCATTGCGCTTAAGAATTGCACAAGCCTGCTGAACTAAATCGTTATGATCGCGGACAACATCCGCTGGAACTTGGCACTCTTCCGCTCGCGCGTCAGCCAACGAATCTGCGAGGACATTCAAGACGACATGGTCCCAATTAGCTGAATCACCGAAGCGCGCAAACTTCACGGGGTCTTCAAGCAAGTGACACGGAACATCAGAGAGGCGGAAGGAGGCAGTTCGAGAGTCGAGCAGCTCCCAGAACTCCCACCACAGGTCGTAATTAGCCAGCTTAGAAGAATGGGCCTTGCCTGACAAGAAAGCCTGGACTATGTTATAATGATCACTGACCACGTGCAGATCTTGAGAAGTGCCAACCAGCCTCAGACACTCAACGATGGCCGCAAGCTCTGCACGTGGAACGGTCTGCCTCTTAGAGTCCAGAACTCCCGTAACAGCACAATCCCAGTCAGAATCAGACCTTGGGACCATCCTGACGAAAGAGAAAGCCACGCGTCTGAGCACAGGCAGCTTAGAGAAAGGGCCCCCCGACCCATCGGCGCCGTACAATCCCCCGGGGAGAGATCCAGGCACGAGGGGCCCAGGCACGCGAAGGCCACGGAGCAACCTCGAATCGGGAAGGGGCGGCAACCGAAACCAGGAGAGGGGAATGAGCCCCCGTACCAAAAAGCATGGGAAATCTGACACTTCCTGGAGCGCCGCATGGCGCAAGTGCCGAGAACCGGCAATATCTGGAACTGTACAGATATCGTTGCACATGCAAGACCAGAAGCGATGAGATGAAGATCCAGGGTCACGCTTGCAGCGGCGGCAGAGGGGGCCAGGGGCCATCTGCTCAGCATGCCTCTTTTCCTCCGCCCAGTGGCCGCCGGCAGCGATCAACCTGACCATGGAGCTCACATCTCGACGGCCTTCCTTCTCAAGAAAGGCCAGGAGCTCCCAAACGTGGAAAAGCGAAACCGGGCCCTGGATTCCTTTGCCGTCGAGATGTTCTGCTGCCTGGTTCCACTGCAGGGCGTCGATCGATTCGTCGAAGGCTTCCAAAAGGGGCCCCAAGGGTCCTCGACCGCCCGCTTTCATCTCCCAGGAGTCGCCAGAAGGGGAGACCAAGGAAAAGGGAGAGGGGCAAGCCCACCCAATGGCGAGCAAGGAGGCCTGAAAAGGCAGCCATCGGGCCTCGGACCCAAGCCCAGCCTCGACGAACCTTCTCGAGCGAGGCATCCCAGAATAGAGCCAAACGCTCAAGAAGCTTCTGGTTGCCTGCAATGTGTGAGAACCAGGCCTTAACAATCTTGCGATAATGCAGCTGTACTGGGTCTTGCCCCAGACCAAAGGTGAGCCGAATAGCTGATGTAGCACAAACACCCTTGTGAGGGCTAGCAGCCCGGGCCACGCTTCTGAGCCCTCGCAACATTGAGGTGGGAACTCCCTGGAGCTCAGGGGCCCACATGGCCTTAGCAAAAGCATTCGGGTAAAACAGCTTGGAGGCGCTACGATTTGTTTTGGAACACTGGAAAATCCTACAACAAGCGTGCCGGCCCTTCGAAAACCTCCCCTTGCGAACTGCTACCGCGCGGCGCGCTCCGAGGGCCGTATCATGCCCCAAGTCCCTGGCTGCTAAGGAAACCGCGAATTCACACCCCTCGGCGACGGCAGCAGCAGAAAGCTCTGAGCGAAGCTCGGGAGACGACGCCAACAGATGAGACTTATCAACGGCCAGCTGACAACGGCGACGCTTCAGGCTGACCAGGAGGGCTCGAAGCAAGGTGGGAAACGTTGCTGAAATGAAATACTGCAATGCGTGCCGAAGAGCCTGGCAGAAACATCGTCCTCCCACTCGCGAAGGCGGAGGCCTGAGACAGAGCTGTAAGCACACCCGAGGGGCTCATGGAGGTGCGCACGCGCAACAGAAGTAGCCTGGCCGCAAGCAGCGAGCATGCCTCCATGAGCTAAGATCCCGGGGTGCACCGCGCCATCCAAGGAAACGTGACGGACGCCTGAATGCATGTCGATAGCTAGGGCAAGGAGGCGGAGAGGGTAGTCGAGAGCAACTGCTGCCTCGACCAAATCTCCCAAGCAAGCCTGATCGTAGTATTTCTTCATATCCAGCAAAAGACCGCCTACCTGAAAACCTGCATGGAAGGCTAGCTCAGTCTCAAGCTCGTCCACCCAGCCTGCAAAATCCGCGGAACCTCCCACCGTGGCGCCCCAGGGCCCATGGGCTCCACGGTCCCATTGGGTGATAAGGGGTTTCCTAATGCGGAGGTAGAGGGAGTAGACGAAGCCGAGGAGAGCGATAGGTATCTTATTACCCCCGTCAGGCTTAGGAATCAAAGCAATGAGGGCGAACAACTGCTGGAAAGGGATTGTACACTGCTCCTCAACGCGATGCAAAATGTCAATCAAATGCTGCTTAGCTTCCAGGCTGGCTTCCTTGACCAAGCGGGGCACCAGGCGATCCAAACCTTGCCCCCTAGCGTCCGGCATCGAAGCAAGGGCTCTTTCCATCATGCGCATACTTATCGATGGCAAACGCGGTGACTCCCTGGCACGCTTACGCAGGTCAGCTAACGCCGCTCTAGCGCCCTCAAGGCTGTGCTGCTGCCAGATGGCCGACCAAGCGGCGGCTTCGAAATCCAGCGTCTGGTCAAGAGCAGCACACGGGCCGTCGACACCAATTTTGTCAGGAGGGAGTGGGTCGACTGGCGTGCGGAGCAATCGGCGCGCCGGGCATGCGCTGCGATACAAGGCAGATTTCAACCATGCCTGCCACGAAGCGCTTTGCGCCTTGAGGGCCTCGCGGTGCGACTGCTCAGCCATCTGGCGCAATTCCTCGAGCAGGTCCTCCAGCCCGTCGTAGGGAGTGGAGGCGATATTCTTAAAACGGGCCGACCACAAATTGAAAAGCCCATCCTGCTTCGCATCGCGAGGGTCCATGGGCTCCGGGGGCACCTGCTGGGAGAGCCAAGCCAGGGTAGACCGAAACTGCGCAGCGTGAGCCAACGCGGGCTGAGGAGGAAGGGTCGGGTCAGAATCAGAAGGCACGAGTTTCATGTGAAATTTCAGCTGTACAAATCATGCCTGCCACATGCGAGCGGCTCGATCGGAGAGGCACGGGCCCTCGACCTGAGCAGCAATCAGAGGAACCTCACGCAGCCTGGGCTGTTGGCCGCGCCCAACATACTGAAACACATCTTCCTGGGAAAGGCCCAACTTGGAGAACGCCTCCAGCTCGAGAGCGAGGACCCAACAGGAAAGACTGTTCCCTAGGGCAACAGAGACATCCGAATTGTCGTGG